ATACTGTGGAGTACTACTGTGCCATAAAGAAGGATGAACTTGCGTCCTTTTGTGTGTGTTTTCCCATCTTGTTTTTAATTATTTTATCTTTTTTCAAATTCTGTCACTTAAAATGTTCCTACAAACAAAATATTTTTTTTTTCTGTTTTGTTTTTTTTTTAATTATTTTTGGTTTTTGAGATCAGGGTCTCCATATATAGTCCAGACCAGCTTTATACTCAGTATGTAGGTCTGGCTGGCCTTGAACTACCTTCCTCCTGACTCAGCCTGTTGAATGCTGGAATTACAGGCATGTTCCACCATCCCCTGCTTGCAGTATTTTTTGTGGTGGACATTTTTTTTCAGTTAGACACACAAAAGAGAGAGTGACAAAGTCTAGTAAATTTTAGTCGTAAACAGAACACTTTCTGCTGTACTCATTTTGTTGTGCCACTGCCGTTTCTCATCCTCCCAGCATGCGCTTGAGCTTATTTCCTCAGGACAGGAATGGGAAGAAGGCCCAACCTCAGGGCTGGGCTGCTGTGACCGGCACTGCGGAGCGGGCGCTCAGAGAGCAGGACCATGCGTGTGCCATGTGGTTGCCATGGCATCGAGGGGTTCTTGACATCCGGTTTGTGTTTAGTAGCCTCATTCCCACACAGGACACTACTCCGGCTCGGGTGGCCAGGTGGAATTATGCCACACAGCGCCAAAAGTTGGTATTAAACATTTATTCCATTCAGAAACCTCCCAAATACAGCACAAGGCACAAGTGACTTCCTGCCTGTGGAAAGGCCTGGGAAATTTTAGTTACAGGTTGAACATCTGAAAGCTGGTTGACCCCAACAAGATGCTCAAAAGATTTCAGATTTGGGAGCATTTTGTATTTGGGATTTTCTAAGGAGGGATGCCAGGCTGCTCAAGTCTGTGCAAATATTTGAACATCTGCACTCTGAAACACGTGTGGTCTGGAGCACTGTGGAGATGGGAGGCTCAGCCTGTGCTTCGCTCTGGGAGACCAGAGTCGTGAGAGAAGAGAAGGGGACCTGGGAGCTCTGGAAAGGGACGTGGAGCCACCCGTGCTAGGGCAAGCTGGACTTGGTGGGGTGGAGGTGCTGTTGGACATGCAAGATGAATCTGGCAAAGCATGAATGGAAAAGAGATAGACACAAGTTCAGGAGTTAACGAGGTAGTCTGGAGAGTGGGGAGACCTCGGAACGGCCGCAGAGAAAGGAAAGACCAGGAAGTGGATGCGGCGCCTAAGGAAAACCGGGCTCCTATCGTGGGCAGAGGAAGATCTTGGTGGGCAATAAAGGCTGCTAGGTGCCCAGTGATGGCTCATGAGTTTTGAAGGGACCCGAAGAAGGGGGACAGCTCCCAGAACATGACTGGGCCAAGACAGACCTGATCATGAAGGAAGGAGTTCAAGGTGGGCGCACGCCTGTAATCCCAGCACTCGAAAGGCTGAGGCCAGAGGATCACCCTGAGTTTCAAGACCAGCCTGGGCTACATAAGTGAGCTTAAGGGCAGCTTGAATTGCATAGTGAGACCCTGTCTCAAAAAAGCCAAAGAAAAAATAAATGAAAGCTCAGAGCCTTGTGCAGTGTTTGCCCCGTGCTTCATTTTCTTTACACACACTCATATTTTTCTACTGCCGAGAACACACGAGACAGAAAGCTCTAAATTAATTGAAAGCATTCCATAGACATAAAACATCGATGGCGTAGCTGAGTGAAATGAGGTTGGCAGGGATGGACAATATCAGTTGTCATTAAACTCAGCAGCTTGCCGGGTGTGGTGGCTCATGCCTGTAATCCCAGCACTCTGGAGGCTGAGGCAGGAAGATCATTGCAAGTTCAAGATCAGCCTGGGCTACAAAGTGAGCTCAAGGACAGCCCAAACTGCGTCGTGAGACCCTGCCTGAAAACGACTAAATAAATAACTCAGCAGCTGCCCAGAGCAGACCGTCACAGATGGTAGAGATAACGTACCCTTTTAGTTTATTGGTGTTGAGTTGGTTGGCAAGGGGGAAAAGAAACAAAAGCCCCACAGCCGGTAACTAGTGCTTAATATGAGTGATGTATTCCGCGGTAAGCTCTGTGCTGGGCCTTTTACCTAGATTACCTCAGCCCCCACAAGCTAGACTATACCCATTTCACAGATGAAGAAACCAAGAGTTTGATTTGCTCAAGGCCACAGTAAAGTGGCAACGTAGAGAATCCCAGTGATGATAGTGCGGTTGCAGAGCCCACAGGGAAACAACTGCACTTGGAGTTCTTAGAGGAGGCTGTATGCTGTGAACATATTAAAACCAGGTCTGGATCCCTGATCCCACCGAAAGCATCACACCAGAATACCTGGGTCCAGGCATGGATTTTTCTAAGTCTGCCTTTATTTTGCAGTACTGTACAGTGAATCCAGGGCCTTGTCAGATAGGGTCTTGCTAAGTTCTCAAGATGCCCAGGCTGGGCCTGAACTCATAATTCTCCTGCTTTAGCCTCTCAGAGTGCTGGGGTCACAAGCGTGGGCCACCAGGCCTAGCGGCATAGATGTTTGTAAAATGTCTCATGATTCTCAGTGCTGCCGGAGTTGAGACCGCACTGTATTTAGCATATTACTTTCCTCATCTGTTCTTTTGAGACAGGGTCTCCCTGTATATTCCAGGCTGGCCTCAAACTCACAATGATCCTCCTGCCTCAGCCTCCTGACGGCTGGGATTATAAATGTGCACAACCATGCCTAGCTTGCTTGCTTCTTACTGCCTAAAGAAACTCAAGTTGGAAGACAGGAACTATACAAAAAAAAAGACAGCCAGCCTGAGGCGGGTGGCAGGATTACCATGAGTTCAAGGCCAGCCTGAAAGACCCTGTGTCAAACAGTGACAGTATTTCAGGTAGACTAAGTGCTGTGTTGGAAGGCAGAAAGACTGGAGCTTGAGCCGTGCGTGTGGTGAGCAGATCGGATTGCGGGTGTGACCAGGGCCAGCTCCCTGCTATAAAGATCCTGAGGCACAAAGGCACAAGGTAACCCTGCGTTACACGAAGAGGCTGCACCTCGTGCCATGTCACACTGCCCGCGGCTGCGGACTCAGGCAGGCCTGCGCAGGAGTCTCGTCTGGAACACCAGCCCTCGTGGGCGGAAGCGAGGTGGGAAGAGCGCTGCGCGGGCGGAGCAGGCCTAGTGTGAAAAGGGAACAGAAAAGGCAGCGCGTGCTGGCTTTGGCAGGACAGACAGCGGGGAGCAGGGCCTCTGCTTCTCATGCCCTTCTTTGCTGCTGCCAAACCGCGGTGTAGAAACGCTCCCTGGATGTCAACTTTCGGTACCACTGGAGAACATGGGAATTGGTTGGGAGCCTCTTCCGTATAGGAGTGACAGCCAGTGCACTGTACAAGGTTGTGCGCGGCTGCTGAGAGGAAATGGGTGGGCCCTTTCCCTGCACACGGCAGGCGCGGGCTTGGAGCATTCTTCCGAGGCCCGCTGGAAGCAGGCAGTGCGGCTGATGGCTCTCACCCCGCCGATGTGGAGGGGAGATGGCTATGCCCGCGGGGCGGCCTTCCTCCATGGCACACTAAAGGAACAGAGGTTCTGCAGCAGCACTCAAGACCTGAGCACCTGTTTCTTTGGGACCCACAGAGAAGCTGTCAGCCCCCAACCTTCCTTTAGCACCAGTTGGGAGGGACAGAAAAGAATTTTACTGAAAGTAACCAAGAATCCCCACCCTGCAGCCTGTGAGCTGCAGGACCAGGCATCTCAGGCTAACCCAACTCACCACCCATTTTAAAACTGCCAGCTAAGAGTCAGTTGCAGCTGGGTGTGGTGGTGTGCATGTGTATACTCATGTGCACAGAAGGCTGAGGCAGGAGGATCCCCTGAGCCAGGAAGTCAGGGCCAGCTTTAAGTGTAAAGAATATCTAAAAGCCAATTGCAGCCAGCCGTGGTGGCCCACACCAGTAATCCCAGCACGCGGGAAGCTGAGGCAGGAGGATAGCCACAAGTTCAAGGCCAGCCTGGGCTACATAGCGAGTTCAGGGGCAGGCTGAACTAACAGATTATTAGGACTGAGTTAATATATTTAAAAAGTGCAGCTGGGCAAGATGATGGAGTTGCAGGTGTGCGCCACCACGCCCAGTTGGTCGTTCTTGTACCTCTGAGATTCTTAGTCTGAGCCCCTGAGAAAAACCCTTGTGACCAGGCCCTGGGCTTTCTAGTCAGTAGCACCGTGAGTCTGATGGTCACGCTGGGCACACAGCTTCACAGCAGGCTGCGTGGAGCTGCCTCACTGTATTTGACATTTAGCAATCGTTATGATTCCCAGTACCAAGAGCTTTCACAGGGCTGGGAGTGTAGCTCAGGGATAGTGCGGCTGGCTCGCGGACTGGAGGTCTTGGGTTCAGTCCTCAGCACTGCCCAGCACTGATGCCCTTGGGTTCAGTCCTGTGCATCAGGCACTGGCTGTCCTCAGCAGTTTTAATGGTTGACTTATTTATGTTTGGCTGTTTGAGACAGGATCTCACTGTGTAGTTCAAGCTGGTCTTGAACTCACTATGGAGCCCAGACTGGCCTCCAACTCACAGCGATCCTCCTGCCTCAGCCATGGCCAGCTAACTGGGCCTTTCTTCAGCCGCTCTGCCTCCCTACCCTCAGGTCTGCAGGGAGAGTGCGGTTTTACAGGGACGGGGTGAGACGCGTACGGCTGGTGCCACTGCAGTGCCCGTGGGTTCCCGGTGACTGTGAGCGGCGACAGGCAGAGGCGCAGGAAGCGTGCGAAGGGCAGGAGCGCGTTTCCTTCTGGCTCCTGGCCAGACCTAAGGAAATAGGGGAGAGCGGAAGGCCCTGTGCGCTGTGAGCCTGAGGCCAGGTCGGCTCCACCTGGCTGGGACGGGTCACAGCCCGATTTTAGAACACGTCCTCACCTTAGCAAGAACCCTTGTGCCCGTTTTCAGTCATTGCGTTCTTTCCAGGACCAGCCTGGGCTGCTGGTTGTGTGAGAGTAACTACTGCAAGTCACTTTCCTCCCGCAGGATGGCATAGTAAACCCCACGGTGAGGAAGGACTTGAAGACCGTCCCAAAATTCTACTGTTGTCCGATTGAAGGATGCCCCCGAGGCCCCGACAGGCCGTTTTCACAGTTTTCTCTCGTGAAGCAGGTATCGTACTCTTCTTAATGTACTCCTCCCGGGACAAAGTAAGGCGGACGCAGCCAGCCGAGCGCGCGAGGGG